CGAATGGATTAAGAAAATGTGGTATCTATACACAATGGAATTTTATGCAGCCATGAAGAAGAACGAAATGTTATCATTCGCTGGTAAATGGATGGAATTGGAGAACATCATTCTGAGTGAGGTTAGCCTGGCTCAAAAGACCAAAAATCGTATGTTCTCCCTCATATGTGGACATTAGATCAAGGGCAAACACAACAAGGGGATTGGACTTTGAGCACATGATAAAAGCGAGAGCACACAAGGGAGGGGTGAGGATAGGTAAGACACCTAAAAAACTAGCTAGCATTTGTTGCCCTTAATGCAGAGAAACTAAAGCAGATACCTTAAAGCAACTGAGGCCAATAGGAAAAGGGGACCAGGAACTAGAGAAAAGGTTAGATCAAAAAGAATTAACCTAGAAGGTAACACCCACGCACAGGAAATCAATGTGAGTCAATGCCCTGTATAGCTATCCTTATCTCAACCAGCAAAACCCCTTGTTCCTTCCTATTATTGCTTATACTCTCTCTACAACAAAATTAGAAATAAGGGCAAAATAGTTTCTGCTGGGTATTGAGGGGGGGAGCAGGAGGGGGTGGAGTGGGTGGTAAGGGAGGGGGTGGGGGCAGGGGGAGAAATGAACCAAGCCTTGTATGCACATATGAATAATAAAAGAAAAAAAAAAAAAGAATGTTTTTGTTGAAAGAGTGAACACACAAACAAATCAATAAAGAGGAAAGTGATTATAAATAATTAACAGGACAATATTTTGTTTAAAATAGTTGAAGGAAAATATTATGCATGTGAAACACTATAGTTTTGGGGGTATTTGTTTGGTGGGACTGGGGCTTGAATTCAGGGCTTCATTCTTGCAAAATAGGCTCTCTACTGCTTGAGCCACACCTCCTGTCCATTTTGCTCTGATTATTTTGGAGATGGGGTCTTGTGATCTATTTCCCCAGGCTAGCCTTGAACCTCAGTCCTCCTGTCTCAGCCTCCCAAGTAGCTAGGATTACAGCTGTGAGTCACCACACTTCACCTGTGTGTGAATGGTTTAAAATTCTTCCACTTCTTATATAGTCATTTTATTTTATCTGTTATGGTGACCATGACTGTGACTCCTCCTTATTCTGTCCTTCATCTAGTCACATGAAGTAGGCTGATTTAGGAAGCAGGCCCCAGATGAACTTAAAATTACAAGAGAGTTATCAGGTGGTACCTGTTTGTGATAAATGAAAAGCAGGCATGGGTAGGCAAAGCCTTCAGATCTCAAGGCAGGTCTGACATCTGTGAAAGAGGAGGGAGAAGAAAGCAAGATTGGGCAGGAAGAGCCTTAGACTATGGTGTGTCCCTGAGAAAGTCTGAGCTAGCCCAACAGAAAGTTTTGGCACAATAACAACCTGTAGAGGGAATTCCCCATTGGGAAGAAAGGGCCAAGTCTTATTGTACCCACCTTGCACAGGCTGGCAGGGGGCTGCCTAGAACAGTATGGCAAGTACTTCCTTGAAGATCGTTGTCAGTGATTCACTCTGTAGAAATTTTTGATATTGCAGAAGACACTTGGGGACTATCTGGTTAGTCTACTTCTCTCTGTGATCAATGTTATCTATGGCATTCTGCAGAAACGAGCATCTATCTTATTTGAAAAGATGTCCAGAAAAGATCCCATAGTTTTCCCCTAATGTCCTACACTAAGTATCAGAATTTCTTTTCCTATGTCTAATCTCAATCATCTAGACTGTAGTATAACCCAGTTTTCTTTTCCTTGTCATCAAGACTTGAGATATGTGTGGATTTCTAAAATGAAAAGGTCCTTTCACTTGACCTCATCCCACATACAGCTAGCTGGCATGGGATAACAAGTACAACAAGTAGAAATCTTTACAACTAGAAAAGCTTACCAGTGAATAGTAATCAGTATAAGTTAAATGAACTTTTAAAGTCATTTCCTGAAGAAAAAGGAGATAACTAAGAATAATGTTTGCTCGAGCTTTCTTGACTGTGTTTGGCAGGCAGACGATGGAGTTATCAATAACTATTAACTAGAAGATCATTCTCAGCAGAGTTAAGGGGACTTGTTACCTGATGGATGGTGTAAGGAGACCTGGTCCAGGGATCTCAGGTCCCTTACTCTCCTAAACAGAGAACTGGACAGAAACACAGATTGCAAAGCCATAGCAGAGTTTCATCAAAAGGAAAAAGAAAGAATAGGCACCACGGAAGAGAGTACTGGGCCCTCGTCAGGTGGGACAGAAGCGCTGATTTTTGTTCAAGGTGCAGTTTATAAGTTGTAAGGTCAAATGGCAAGAAAAACCTGGGCAGTCTTTTATAGGAGGGGCTAGGGTGATTGGGAGGTTTGATTGATAAGGCCTTTAATTGTATGAGATGCGACCATACAATAAGGTCCTAAGTAGAGGGCTTTACGTGAGAAGTCAAATTAAAGACAGATTTCCCTCTCCTGGGCATGTGCCATTTTCTGGTCTAAATGCGCAAGAGACTTCCTGATCTTTTGGAGAACTTACATCTGTGAAAGGATTTATAATTAAAAAGGAATTTACAACTGAGAAGGTGGTCAAGGGTGGTACTGGGTGCAGAGGGGGAATCAGCATGGAGTGACCTTTTGCTGAGAGGGTGGAGTCCATGACAGGTTACTTTCCCTGTCATTAGTGCTGCACTCAGTAGGTAAGGAGCTGAAGGAAACTTGACCAAGGTAAGTCAGAGCCAGGAGTTGACGCAGGCGTATCTGGCTCTCAAGCCCATTTTCACACAATAGCAACTCTTGTGGAGGTTTTGTAGAGGATTTATTATAACTCCCGGGGGCTGCACACTACACACCATGCACACAAACGGCCTCCACCCAGAGGTGTTGGGCAAGCAATGTTTGACTCTCTACAGTGCCTGCCTTTGCTATCTCATGTGACTGTGTTTGAGAGGTGACAACAGTGAAACTTATCAAGTGACCCCCACCTTTCAGAGAATAGATCACTGAAACCGGTGCATTCTGAGCTGTTAAACGGTTTCTGCAGAGCCGTGGGCAGCTTGCCCCATGCTAATGACGCAACTTGCTAGCAAATTAGTTTCCTCTTTGTCTCCTGCTGGCTGACAGGTAAGGAAGGCACCCTTGTACCCAAAGATCTCTGGATCCCACGGCCCATTCTCACATTATGTGCTGCCTCTGTCCTGTGTTTTTCTGCCTTAAACTGTGGTCGTTTGTCTTATGAAGTATATAAATTGCCTAAATGCCTGTATATTCAATGTGCCATAAATTAAGCTAAATTTCAGATATATTATATATTTAAATACTTTCAAATATTTTTTCAAATATAAATGTAAATTACAATATATTAATAACTACACAGATTTGCATTAAGTATAAAATATAATTTTTAATTTTAAATATATTATTTGGAAAAGTTATCTTTTAAAAATTATAATATTAAAATACACTCTTTTTTTTTGCAGTACTAAGGATTGAACCCAGGGTCTTTTGCTACCACTTGAACCATGTTCCCAGATTTTTTGTTGTTTCTTTGTTTGGTAGGACTGAGGTTTGAACTCAGAGCTCCATGCTTACAAAGCAAGCACTCTACCACTTGAACCACACTTTCAGTTCATTTTGCTCTGGTTATTTTGGAGATGGGAGGTCTTGCAAACCACTTTCCTAGACTGGCCTCGAACCTCAATCCTTCCAATTATAGCCTCCCAGGTAGCTAGGATTACGGGTATGAGCCAACAGCACCTGACTTTTATTTTGCTTTTTAGTGTCTCACTGATTTTTGCCTGGGCTGGCCTCAAATCATGATCCTCCTGCCTCTACCTCCTGAATAGCTGGGATTACAAGAGTATACCACCACACCCAGCTTAAATACATGTCATTCTTAGACTAAGAAAACACAAAGAAAAGATGTCTTCATTTTTAAGACTTGAGGTATTTACCCTACATTGTACAGAGGCAGCAGGTGGTGTTAGGGTGTCACAAGGAAACTCTTGCCTGGAGAGTTGAACACATCAGCATGTCATGTGTAGATGTACAAAAATGTTCAGAACCAGTGCAAATGTGAGCTGATGAAGAAGGACATATATATCCTTCCTCAGATCCTTGTGCAATGCTGTAAGTTGACGTAATTATTTTTGTTGTTTGCTTATTTTGATGGTACTAGGGTTTGAACCCAGGTCTTTGTGAGTGCTAGGCAAGCACTCTACCACTTGAGCCAAGCCCCCAGCCCATCAACATAATTCTTGGGTAGGCTTTTTGTCCATATTACTGAACAGGAGGAATTGTAATATTACACTTCGGTTTTGGACCCTTATTTTTTTTTTGTAGTATTCACCATTCTTTCTAACTCATAAGACTGCTATTCCTGTCTTATTGTCATCTAACATGAGAATAGCAAATGGTAAATTCATGGTTCTATTAATTCAGAATGATCAAGATCCTGTCATGTATTTTTCTAATGCTATTCCCTTTGGCTCACTGCCTAATAATGGCAAAAGCTTAAATCCACAATAAAGCAGTTCAGAAGAAAAGCAGCAGGTCTAACACCAGATAGAAGGTAAAACTTACTCGTAGGAAGAGATTTTTTTTTTTTTAGGGGTATAGCCTCAGGAATAGACCTTAGAATGTAAGCCTTATTTTTTAAAATATTTTTTATTAATAGTCATGTATAATTAATATAGTGATTTATTTGGATTTAGATTTCGCATCTTTAGAGCCTGATTTCGTATATAGGAAGACAGAAGAGAAAACAACTATGAAAGGTCAAGGACAATTGAAGTACAAGATTTGAATGAGGTAAGAAATAATCTAACACCAGATAGAAGGTAAAACTTACTCGTAGGAAGAGATTTTTTTTTTTTAGGGGTATAGCCTCAGGAATAGACACTTAAGAAATGTAGCTTATTTTTTAAAATATTTTTTATAATAGTACATGTATATAAATAACTAGTGATTTATTTGGATTAAGATTTCCATCTTAGAGCCTGATTTATCAGTAATATAGGAAGACAGAAGAGAAACCACTATGAAAGGTCAAGAGACAATTGAAGTACAAGATTTGAATGAGGTAAGAAATAAAATGATAACTTTTCAATTACATTTTCTAACATAGGCTAGGCAAACCTCAGAAGGATTCTCAAGAATTCCTGAAAATAGGAGGAGTGGCTCAAGCGGTGGAGCACCTGCTTTGCAAGCATGAAGCCAAGTTCAAACCACAGTCTCACCAAAAAAAAAAGGGGGGGAGGGGAAGCACACTAGCACAAATGGAGACTCTCCATCCTGTGACTGTGATCAGTGGTCACGGAAAACCTTCCTGGGGGAAGTTGGCCAGGAAGGAGCCCATTAGAAATGGGCTTAGGATAAACTCGTGTGTTGAGATTGTAGGGATGATTTAAAGATTTGGCCTCATTGAGAATATATGTGAGAATTCAGAACAATCAAATAGTGATATAAACTGCCACTTACCGAGCAAACAACCCATATATGTCCAAACATCCTTATCCCTATTTCTTGTAAGGGAAGCTGAAGCTAAGAAAAGTGAAGAAAACAGCCCAGTGTCCCCTGAGTAGTAAAGAGCAGGACAGGAATGGTGGGGTGCAGGGGCTCTTCATCTCCCAGACTGCAGAGTATATAAGTGTCCATCTCAGGCTGCCTCCTCCCCTGCCCTGCCCTATGTGCAGCAAGTTCATGCACCATGTGTGTACTTTAGGCAGAGAGCAGGAGCATCAAGGAACTGGCTGTATTCTCACTCTGTGCTCACTAAGATGCATTTTGATTTTGACTGGATTTCCTAATGGGTTTCTGTACACAAGAGAATGTGCACTTTGACAAGGCTCAATAGAGTAGGTATTTAAAGTAAGTGAGTGCTTTTAAGTTAAATGTGGATTTGAATGTCAGTGCTGATTGTTTAACCTTGGGCAAATTATCTAACATATCTGAGTCTCTCCATCTCCTGTGAAAAAGAATGGGCACTCTCATAGGGCCCTGGGGAAACAAAATGAGATAGATCATATAAAGTACTTACCATCATGCCTGGCATATGATAAGCCTCAATAAATAGTGGCCACAACCCTTATTACTGCAGTTATTAGCCTCAGTTAATTTGGGAAGATTTCATCAATGCTCTGTATTTGGTAGTTGCTTGAAATTTACACAATACTTTCAAAATCACATTTGATTCCTACTGTGATGGCTTGAATGTAAGTCAGACAAGTATTACTACATATAACAGTTGTAAAAAGAGGCTCGAAGAGAAAAAATGTGTCTTATGAGCTATGCTACCATGAACAAGTTTTCCTGTATTTATATATTCCTTACATGACTACAATTGAGTTAGGCTAAAAATTGTTATCATCAAAATGTATGGGAAACACTGCTATTGTATCTAAAGTGAATTGTGTAAAATGCTTTTCACAGATACTGAAAACGAGCCAAGAAAAAGTTGAAATATTTGAAAGCGATTTGTCAGAAGAGAGAGAGAAGAGAAAGCAATTGGTAACCAGTTTCATTACTACCCAGAAGGCCTTGGAAATTGATAGTGAGGTATTGCCTACCAGAGTGTTGTATTCTTCTTGTTTTCCTCTCTTAGGAATTTCAGGTTATCACTTGTTTGATTTAAAAAATAATTTTAACTGTAAGACGTACGGTTATGACAGTTGGGCTGTCATAAGCAAATAGCACAGAGTGGATGGCTTAAACAATAGAAATCTATTTCCTTGCCATTCTGGAGGCTGAGACGGCCCAGAATAAGCTGCTGGCCCACTGGGTTCCTAGCGATGGCTTCTTCCTGGCTTGCTTGTTCATCTGACACCAGTTTACTGTGTTCTCACATGCTGGGACAGTGAGCTTTTGGTCCCTTCTCTTCTTATAAAGCACCAGGCCTATCAGATTAGGGCCACCCTCAGGTCCTCACTTGACCTTTATCACCTCCTTCTTGACCCTGTCTCCAAATACAGTTTTATTAGAGACTGTGGCTTTGCTGTAGGAATTTTGAGTCCACAGCACTGTTGAATGTGTGTTCTAGCAGGAATAATGGGACGGCTCTGGTGTGTCCCCATGCTGAGCCCCAGCACTGGCCAATGTTCGATTGTTATGGTGTGTTAAAGTTGTGAACTTGTCTCTCCTTTTAACCTCCCATCCTTCCATCTTGGGAAGATGTGTCAGGAGACACCATCAGCCTCTGTTTTGAAGAAAGACCTGGAAGTGAGCTCCTGGACATCTCAGTTACCAGCTTAGAAGAGGGTGGCAGTTTTACTCAATTTGTAGATGGGTGACAGGAGTGCCATGCCCCATATCCCACCCTAATGACCTTCAGAAACTTCAGTGACAGTAGACAGGAAGCTGACAACACGAGTCCTCTTCCTGTTTGGGAGGCCACCCCGACCTTCTTGCCTTCTTGCCCAGTGCCATCAGTTTTCTCCTCTCCCTTTGATTTCAAAGCTTTGGGGAAATCCCAAGCAGCTCCTCTCCTGAAGTAAATTTTATTTAACCCATTGGCTATTGGGCACCACAGAAAGACTCAGCCCGTAGTCATCCACCAAGCTCTGCATATTCCATATAATTAATGTAAAATTTCAAGGAAAGTCCACATCTCACTGATGTGTTTTCTATCATAGATATGAAGAGAAAATCAAAGGATCTGAGGAAATCCTAGTTGGTTGAAGTCACTGAATATACATTGTTAAGTAAGGCAGCATAAGCTGTAGTTAAGAACACAGAGCAGGCAGGTGTGGTAGTTCACAACTGTAATCACCCTGGCCACTCAGGAGGTAGAGATCAGAAGGATCACTGTCCAAGGCCAGCTTGGGCAAAAAATTACCAAGACTCCATCTCTTTTATTTATGTATCAATGTATGTATGCCTTTATTTATTTATTGTTGGCAGTACTTGGGGCCTTGCACTTGCTAGGCAAGCACTCTACCACTTGAACCACACCTCCTAGCCCAGAAAACCCTATCTCAACCTATGATCCCAGCTACACTGGAGGAATTGGTAGGAAGACTATGGTCTGAGGCCAGCTCCAGGCAAGAACATAAGCCCCTTTCCAAAAAACAGAAAAGGTTTGGGGCCATGGCTCAAGTGGTAGAGCACCTGCCTAGCAAGTGCAAGGCCCTGAGTTCAAACCCAAATACTACTGGGAAAAAAAAAAAGAATAAAAGAACCCAGAGTCTAAGTCAGATCCTCTGATCTCTACCTCCTGAGTAGCTAGGATTATAGATGTGAGCCACCATGCCAGGCCTAAGATACAATGTGTTTATTTATTTTGAATAGGTTTTTTGGTTTTATTAAAATCTTACATGAACAAGAAATTAGAAATATTATCACCTCAAAGGACAAATCGTCACAGCTTTGACATTTAAGCCAAACAAATTTCATAGCAGTTGGAAAACATGGTGAACCTCCATCTAGGAATGCAAAACATAAATAACCATGGGTTATTTTCAGTATAAGAAAATTTTGTTTTAATTTCTGTAGACTAATAAGACACAGCAATAGCTTGTATTTTATTTACAGCATATATTTAAAACAGGGATGGGAGAGTGGCTCAAGTGTAGAGTTCCTGCCTAGCAAGCATGAGGCCCTAAGTTCAAACCCCAGTACCACCAATAAAATACATATATATTTAATATGTTATTAAATATATAAATATATTAAATATATAATTAAATATACTCATTTAATTTAAAACATATATTTAAAATGAGAACATTGTTAGAATATTTCAAGATTTTTTTTGAAAAATGTTATACCTTTTAGGGGAAATCATCTTGTTTTATCCTATAAAATGTCTTCATTTCTTAATCAGGAATTCCAAAAATCAAAGTCAGAACTCATACGCCTTTATAAGGACATTCAGAGTCTCCCAGGAGCAGCAGAGGGCAGGGACCAGTTTTTAATGGCGTATGACCTGCTGCAAAGAGAGAATTGTGAATTAGAAACGAAGGTGAGGCTGAATTAAGTATTTAAATGTTCAGTGTTTAACACATCATTTATGTGACTTGGGGATTGGAGTTTGTTATTATGTAATAAAATGCCACATGTGGCGGGTCTTACATTAAGCCATATTTCAGTATAAATATCCAAATTTCAGCCGATACTTGGTATTTAGGATTAACTTTTAAATGTTTTTACTTTTATGTGTATGTGGTACTGGGGCTTGAACTCAGAGCCTTAACCTTGAGCCACTAACTCTGCCAGCCCTATTTTTGTGAAGGGTTTTTTCGAGATAGGGTCTCATGAACTATTTGCCTGGGCTGGCTTTGAACTGTGATCCTTCTGATCTCTGCCTCCTGATTAGCTAGGATTACAGGTGTGAGCCACCAGCACCCGACAAAATGTTCTTATTTTAAATGAATTTCCTACCAACTTAATTTTTGGAGCACACTTTACGATATGCAGTGTGAGGGGAAAGAACACAGGGTTTGAGTTGCTGCCTGTGAGGGTCGATATGGAGGGTACAGACTACAACTTGGCTCCATTTGGGGCCTTGTCAGCAAGGTGTGCTACTGTCACATTGTGCAGTTAAAGGACCATGTCTTCCAAGATATCATTGGAAAAGTTAACACAAAAGATGGGGGTGGGGTGGGTGCAGTGGCTCATTCTTATAGTTCCAGCTACTTGGAAGATGGAGATAGGAGAATTATGGTTTGAGGCCAACCTAGGCAAAAAGTTAGCAAGAGCCTATTTCAAAGAAGAAGCCAGGTGTGGTGGTTCACATCTGTAATGCCAGTTACCAGGAGACAGAGGTAGGAGGATCACAGTCCAAGGCATGCCCCAGGCAAATCTGAGACCCTATCTTAAAAAGGGCTGAGGACATGGCTCAAGTGGTGGAGCACCTGTCTAGCAAGAGGAAGGTCCTGAGTTCAAACTCTAGTACCTCAAAAGAAAAAAAAAAAAGAAACTGTCTTTGAAATCCCTTCATAACTGAGACTTTTACTTAGTCGTGCATAATTCCCTCAGCTCCTCATTTCGTAGTCTCTACTCCAGCATGACCATCCTCCTTACTCATCCTCAGATTATTCTTTATTCAGTTTATGTCAGTGTCTTTGACCACACTGTTCCCCATGCTTAAAATGTGCTGTTGTCCCTCCTTCACCTATCCATATCTTCCCATCCACTGAGGCCAGGTCAGGTCGCATCCCTGCACTGGAAAGTTATGTGGTCGTATGAGATTCTAGTCTGTACCACACCCTCTTCAGAGAACTGAAGAGTTAGGAAACCAAAGGGGCCTCTTCAAGTAAACTTAAATTGTCCTTTAGACTTAATTCAATTTTGTTCTTATACTCCAACATAGTTACTATAGAAACTTCACAGGCCATTGTCTGCCTTAGCACCATACTGGGATGGGGAGTCCACCTTCCCTTCTTAGCACTATTCTTTCCAGGAGTAAAAAGGAGGATTTCTTTCATTTTTGTGAAGATATAAAGAGTAACCTTTGAGGGGAAGAAATCTTCAGAATCTCCAAAAGCAAAGCAAAACAAATAAAAACACCCAATAAATGTTTTGCCTCATCATACCACAGGGCACTGTCTCTCAAAGCACCTATTCACACTAGATTTATCTAGGAAGCTTTTTTAAAAGGCAGATTTCCATTCCCTAGCCCAGGACCCTAAGTCTGAATCTCCAAGGTAAGATAGCGTTTGACATCACCTTCTGGGGTGAGGCTTTGATGTGCTGAAAGCTGGAGAGACATTATGACAGTCAGGGAACCTTTACAAGGTCAAACAAGGGTTTGCGGATAAATGGGTCAGACTAGAAGAAAAGTGTTCTCTGAAATATGCATCAAGCATTCTCTCTCAGGTTTTCTCACAGTAATAAATCATTGCTTTTATAAATCCATGAGGTATGTTCAAAACTAGAAGAAAAACATGCTGCAACAGGATAAAACTATTGACCACATCTCTTTGCTTGATAGAAGGTAGACTGAAACTCTAAACAGCAATCTGAGACATCAACACCAGAGACCAAAAATTCCTGGTTTGTTTTGTTCTGTTTGTTCAAATCTTATGCGTATGGATTAAGTTATATTACAACTGCAGAGTATTAGATTGGAATAAGACATCAATTTAGGGTGCCAATTTATATTAAGTCAATAATGAAGCATTTAATGGAATCAGTAGACTTTTTCATGGTTGTGCAAAAGAGGATACAAAATAGAATTTTTACCTTTTCACTTAACTTTGCAGGTATTGAAGTTTTCACAAGAATTGGGACAATTAAATCATATTACTGTAGGGGGGGAAACTACAACTGCTAATTTAATTACAAGTGAGGATACCGATGAAGATCTGGTGCCTAATGTGCCAGCTTGGAAAATAGAGACTCCAAGCCCACAGGAAGAGAGAAAGAAACTCTGGTAAATTGGGAAAATCCCACATCACATTAATTTGGGAGGGGTACATTTTATTTGGCCTGGTCTTTATAAGAATTTGTTTTCAAGTGATATAATTGGGAAAAAAATTAGTTTTAACCACTCTACAGAGTTTGTCTTTTGATATAGTATTATATTTTGAAAACTTTTCCCCTTTTAAAAATAAGTATATAAACCAGGCATAGTTGTGCACATCTGTAATTCTAGCACTCGGGAGGCTGAGGCAGGAGAATCATGAGTTTAAGGCCAGCCTGGGCTACTTAGTGAGACTTTGTCTCAAACAAACAAAAAAAAGTACATGCTTTTCAGTTTGTTTTCTTTTTGCGATATTGGGGTTTGAACTCAGTGCCTCACACTTGCTAGGCAGGCGCTATACCACTTCAACCATTCCGCAAGTCCAAGTATGTGCTTTTTACTGAAAATTTAGAAAGCATGGAAAAGTATAATTATGATGATCCACAATTCCCACCAGGGAGAGGTCTTCATTTTTCTTTTCTGTACACACACATTTATTCCTTAAGATTATAGGTGGCACAGAGGGTCTCCCCACATGCAGTTCTTATTTAACATTGTTTTGGTAATTAAGTCTTGAGAACCTTTCTCTTGTATTTATTTATTTATCTATTCTCTTGTATTCTTTTTTTTTTTTTTCAGTTCTGAGGTTTGAACTCAGGGCCTACACCTTGAGCCACTCCACCAGCTCTTTAGTGTGATAGGTTTTTTTGAGACAGGGTCTCAGCAACTATTTGCCCAGGCTGGCTTCAAACTGTGATTTCTGCCTCCTGAGTGGCTAGGATAACAAGCATGAGTCACCGGTGCCCAGCACTCCCCTAACTCTTATATTTCTACTTTTTCACCAAAATATATGTTTCACAGAAATTTTTGAGGCTTTGGCAATTGAACTACTCTGCTTTGGCACAAAAACTAACCAATACAAACAACTGATTTCAAGAGAGATTATTCTAGTATCTCTCAATGGAAGGCAGGCCAATAACCCACACATGAACCACAGATGAGGAAATAGTGGCCTGGACTAAGTGGCAATGGGAATGATAGGGTCTAGCTGAAAGCTCTTCACAGAAAGTGTTGACATTAACGATCAAAGATGATGAAACCCCACCCTGCTGACTAGAGTTGGTTGGCAAAGATTCTTGTAGCAGTGGGCAAGGCTGTGGTCGCAAGTCAGCTGCCAGGACATGGACATGGGGCTTCTTTCTAAAAAAGCTCCTTTGACACTTACTTCCATGGCTTGGTCCAAACTTCTTCCCATCGCTGAGACTGCGTGCCAGTCTGCATCACCATGTGCCTCCTTCTCTCCTCTGTTGGTATTGTTTCCTGCTTACCTCCTGTGCTCTTCTGTCAAGTCCATACCACAGTCACATTTAACAGCAAACTGTGTCCACCATGCTCCAGGCACTTTAGGTAGACATGAGGATACAAAATAAGGCACCATTCTGATCCTTGTGGCCCACATGTCCTGATTGGGGGAGATAGTTAAAACAAGGCAGTACTAGATAGTACGACTAATCAAGGACTGAGCAAAAAAAAAAAAAAAAGTTGGAGGGGAGGGGAGTAATAATTTACAGGGGACGTGTGACATGTGCAAGAGAAAGCATGATTTGTGTGAGGTCCTAAAAATGACCTATTAGATACAGTGCAAAGAGAAGATGATGAAAGCAGAGGCACGATCGCATAGATACATAAAAGGTCTGTGTTAGGGAGGTGTTTTGTCTGTTTGTTCATCTGTTTGTTGTTTTGCAGTGCTGGGGGGTGGAACCCAGGGTCTCACATGTGCTAGTCAAGCACTCTGCCACTGAGCTATACCCACAGCTCTATTAGGGAGTTCAGACAATAGGAAACCATGCAGAGTTTTGTGGTGTGGATGAGACAAAAACAGATTTGCGCTTTAGAAAAATCACTCTGCCTACTGTGTATAAGATTATTTGTACAAAAATGAACATAGAAAGATCAGTTAGACAGCTGTTATTCACTCTAGGTGAGTGATGGTGACATTTGTGGGGGTGACTTCAGATTGAAATGTGAACATTCTGGGTATTATAAGACTCTAGGAGCTGGGCGTGGTGGCTCACACCTGTAATCCCAGGTACTTGGGAGGCTGAGATCTGGAGGATTTCTCTGTTCAAGGCCAGTCTGGGCAAATAGTTCGAGAACCCCCCATCTCCAAAACAGCCTGAGTAAAATGAACTGTATGTGAGACTTAAGTGGTAAAGCACCTGCTTTGCAAGCATGAATCCCTGAGTTCAAACCCCACTCCCACCAAAAAAAAAAAAAAACAGGTTTATTTAGCTCAAAGTTCTGGAGGTTCAAGAGCATGACACTGTCTTCTGCTTGGCTCTAGTGAAGGCCTTCGGGCAGATGGCACCACAATGATAGAAGCACATACAAGAGAGAGAGATTACATGGCAAGAAGAGAAGCCAGAGAGCAAGGGGGTGGGCAGTCTTGCTTTTTTATAACAACCCCCTCACAAAAACTAACCAAGTCCTATGAGAACTATATTAATTCCTTCTAATTGCAGTGCCCACAGTGGCCTAACCTCTTTGTGGTAGGCTTCCATTACCAACCAGGATCACCACACTGGGAACTAAGCTCCTAATACATGAATCCTTGGGAAACACACTAAAACTATATCTAAACCATAACACTGTGTCTCCATTTAGTCATATTTTAAGCAACATTGTTATGACCACTAATATATATTCCCTTTTTTACTATCAATCATTATAGTACATCAATGTATACAATTATTCAGAGTCTGAACATTTTCACAGCTCTTGATCTGTATTTCTAAATTGCCTTCTTGAAGAATTTGAGTTGCAACCATAATTTGTGAAGCCCAAATTTTAAGGTGCCCAAAACAAACTTAGGACTGAGGGAATAAAACTAAAATTAGGGCTGTGGTGTCTCTCTGTGATAGAGTGCTTGTCCAATGTGCTTGCAGAAAGCCCTGGGTTCAATCTAAACACTGATGATAGGAGACAAATAGAAAGATAGGTAGATAGATAGAAAATCAACATGTTTGTGTTCCCTCAAAATAGACAGAAAGAAAGAAAGCTAGAAAACCAACAGTTTGTGTTCCCTCTACTTTTCTTTACATTCTTGTATGACCAGAGGCACATCCCTCCTCATGTTTCTATGACACAGTCTCCTGGTTTTCCTCTTCCCTCTCTGGCTTGTTCTTTATACATCTTTTGGCTTCTGCCTAGCAAATTCTCCTCATTTCCTTTTACACCTTCTCCCTGCTCATCTTACCCAATTCCAAGATTTCTGCATCTGAATCTTCACTTCTATTCTGTCATCTTGGTTCTCTGTTCACTTGCAAAAATTTGCCCCATCCAGAAATCCAGGTGCCATCTGTGATTTCTTGTTCTCCCTCACATACCACATCCAATAACTGGCAGATCTTTTGTAAATCTCTCCAGAATCCCTCCTGATTCTAGCCTTGGTATTTATTATGCAGATTACTGCATCAGTCTCTCATCTGATTCCCTAACACATACCATCCAGTGATCTAAAGCACATTTGCTTTTGCTTCCAGGAGTTCACACAACTTATCAATTAAATCATCCTAGGACATGTTTGGTTTTCTATGTTCTTATCTACTCCAACACTCCCCCAGCATCCATAAATATATGCAAATATGTATGCACACAATTAACTGTACAATTAGCTTGTACCTACTCATTCATCAGGCCACATATTACTTATACTCAATCCATTCACTTGTTTATTTATCTTTATTTCTCAGTTATAGTCTCCTTAAGTCAGAGATTGTCTTAGTGTAGCCAAAGTGCCTAATGCTTATTGAGTGATTTTTTAAAAAGTTCTTTTTCTGGGACTGGGCTTTGAACTCAGGGCTTTGAACTTGCAAAGCAAGTGCTCTACTCCTTGAGCCACACCTCCAGTCCATTTTGCTCTGGTTATTTTGGAGATGGGCCTCATAAACTATTTGCCCTTGCTGGCCTGGAACCGCCATTCTCCTGATCCCAGCCTCCCAAGCAGCTAAGATTACAGGCATGAGTCACTGGTGCCTGGCATGACTTTAAAAAAATTTTCAGAACCTGTGTCTGCCCAATGCAATACTGAAAGTTGAAAAGACATAAAATTCATTTAAGCTAGTTGTTTGGTTGTGAACAAAAATCCAAGCTGGGTCATCTCCCTGAATGTAAGTAAAAAATATGACTTGTTTGTTTTTAAAGTTTGTACGAGTAAGATAATTGTTCTGTTATAGACTCTAAGTCACAAAATCTTGTTTTGCAGTACTTTCTTGACTTGTAGGTATTTCTCTTCTGCTATGATAATGAGCATTTTGATAGTTTTTTTTATTGTTATGTTTGTATCAAGTCCTGAATTTGGAGAAAGTAAGCAAAAGGACAGTCCAGAAGAGTCAGTAAACAAGGGCATTTTTCCAAGAGAGGGGAGGAAGGAGGCAGATATACAACAGAGTGGAGATGTAAAAGCTGAAGAACAAGTGTTGACTATGAAGCCTGAGAACATTGTGAGGCTTGAGGAAGCACCAAGCCTTCAGTCTCAGAGCTGTGGGGACAGTTCAGATGACAGCAGCACCCAGGTAGGTGCTACACAGTGCCCTGTTTCCATTCCTCTGATTAGCTGTAGATAGAAGCATCATTTGAAACATCATCATTAATGTGTATTTGTTAAGTAATGTCATAACTGAGGCCTGAAAGTAATAACATAGCAACAAAAGTGAACTAAGCCCATCAGCTGATTCACTTTATTATTAAAGGATCTTAATCTCTGCCTCGGCACCACAGGGAAAAGAGTGCTGATGGATTGCTCACATCTGCCCTGGACAGGTGGGATAGGAGATGGCAGGATATACACTGCATTTCCTATTCCTAGCATGCAGCTTAGTGTACAAAGGACTTCATTTTCTGTGGTATCTATACACAATGGAAATTTATGCAGCCATGAAGAACGAAATGTTATCATTCTCTGGTAAACGGATAGAATTGGAGAACATCATTCTGAGTGAGGTTAGCCTGGCCCAAAAGACCAAAAATCATATGTTCTCCCTCATATGTGGACATTAGATCAAGGGCAAACACAACAAGGGGATTGGACTTTGAGCACATGATAAAAGCGAGAGCACACAAGGGAGGGGTGAGGATAGGTAAGACACCTAAAAAACTAGCTAGCATTTGTTGCCCTTAACGCAGAGAAACTAAAGCAGATACCTTAAAAGCAACTGAGGCCAATAGGAAAAGGGGAACAGGTACTAGAGAAAAGGTTAGTTCAAGAAGAATTAACCTAGAAGGTAACACACATGCACAGGAAATCAATGTGAGTCAATGCCCTGTATAGCTATCCTTATCTCAACCAGCAAAACTCCTTGTTCCTTCCTATTATTGCTTATACTCTCTCTACAACAAAATTAGAAATAAGGGCAAAATAGTTTCTGCTAGGTATTGGGGGGTGGGGGGGAAGGGAGGGGGCGGGAGTGGGTGGTAAGGGAGGGGGTGGGGGCAGGGGGGAGAAATGACCCAAGCCTTGTATGAATAATAAAAGGAAAAAAAAAAAAGACTTCATTTTCATGGGGAAAAGACCTCAGAATTACTTTAAATATAGATTTTGTTGTTTCCTACAGATTTGCCTGCAGGAGACAAAAAGGGACTGACTACCTCCCACACTTTAGTTCGGAATTTTTTAATGATTTTGTCAGCATCTAATAGTTGTACAGGGGAATGCATTATGATACTTGCATATGTGCTTACAATACGTCTTAGTTAGATTTACCCCTCCATTGTTCTCCCTCTCCCCCCTTCCTTCTTAGAACAATTTGAACAGGTTTCAGCCTTCTGTTTTCTTATATGGATACAAAATACATCCACCATATACACCCTTATTCCCCCTTTCCTTGTGCCCACCCCTCTCCCACTGGCACACCCCCACCCCCAGAAAGGATTTATTTTTCCCTCCTGCCCTTCATTTCTTTTTATTAAATGTATTCCAAGGGGGTTTTGCCTTGGTACTTTGGGCCTATATAAAGCATGATATATGTGCTCTAATCAATTTAACCCCTCCCCCATTACTTACTCATTCTCTATCACCATGCTCTCCTAATATTCTACTGCACAGTACATTATATTATATTCACATAGAGATGGGTCATTTCGATCTCTCCCACCTCCCATAGCTCCCTCAGATGGACTCACTAATATAATTTTGTTTTCTCTTACTATATAAAAGTAATATATATATGTATATTTTGACATAAGTCTAGCTTCAACATATGAAAGAAAACATGCAAACTTTTGAGGGTGGCTTTGCTTAACACGAAGTTCTCCAGTTCCATCCATTTACCTGCAAACATAATTTCATTCTTCTTTTAGTTCTGAATTTTATAGGTCTCTATTGTACAAATTAAGATTTCCCAACATTTGAGATCCACAGTGGAAGATTTTTGTCCTCATAAGTAAACCACCTTCAAAAGTCTGATATTATATACACTTGAAAAGTAAATCGACTATATACTTTAAAAAATGGAGAAAAATATATCTGAAAAGAGATTGGGATATAATACGGCTTGAAAGCTAGGCAAATCACAGTGAATAAGGAAAATAAATACCTGAAAGGAGATTCAGATCCATATTTGAAAGAAAGGGAGTCACCAAATTTGTTCAGAAGATCAACAAGAAGGAGATGATATCAGATGTCCAAGAAGAGATTAATTTTTGCACCTCCAAGAGCGTCCTTTCTGTAACATTGGGCCAATGTGGGAGACTTGAGCAGAAGCTGAACTACAACAAAGATTAGAAAATCTTTGCTTGAGAGTTTAGAATGTGTGTCTTTAAATTATGCAGTTTAAAGTCTGAAAGTGACACCTGCTTAATTTATTAATGTATTCATTCCCATTATTTGAAATACCCATTTCTCAACACCTAGTAAGGAGGTGAAAAATTTTGTAAAATATAAAAATTCCTGACAAAACTTGGAAGAATCATCTACTTGGTAGAAGGGCAAATAGTTCTATTTACCACCTAGTCTTTTAGGATTTCACTGCATTCTAGTATAATTCAACAAGTTTTTTCTGTAACAATGGCCATGAATGATTGAAAGATGTTTTAGTTGCTTTTATTAATTTATTCAACCAGTATTAATCCTCTGTGATGTGTCAGACAATAGGGTAAGGCACAAATAGCAATAAACAGGTAGATGTGGCGGCTAGGCACCGGTGGTTCACACCTATAATCCAAGCTACTCAGGTATGGTTCAAAGCCAGCCCAGGCAAATAGTTCATGAGACCCTATTGCAAAAAAACCCATTACAAAAAAAGGGCTGGCAGAACAGCTCAAGCATAAGAGTGCTTGTCTAGCAAGCGTGAGGCCTGAATTCAAACCCCAGTTCCAGCCTTTGGGTCCAGCTGGGTGATTTGCAGAGCAGTAGGGCCTGCTGTTTCTACCTGAGTAGAAAACTGAGATTTATCTTAACCAGTTGAAAAGTTCTTTGCCAGGATGTAAGTGTGAAAAACCTGCTTTCACTTCCCAAGAGAAATGATGGGAACACTATGTAGCTATCATTGCCCTGTACCTGTCCATTGTCACAGAGTTCTGCATGTCTGGATGTCAGTTGAGCCCAACATGTTTAAAGATGAGATGGAGAGCTACATTATCTCTGTGAACAAGAGGGCGACCCTGGCCCTTGTCACAGTACAGCTTTAAAACAACTGCTATCTCACCAATGAGGATCTTCAATCTGTGCATGCCTCGCCTTTGCTTGGGAAGATGAAGATTTTAATTAAAGGTTGTGCTGGTGTCTGTACTCCTGGCTGGGGCAATCTTGCACTCACGCTTCATGCCCAACATTCTTCCTTGTCTTCCAAGACTGCTCTCATATTTCCTTCATGGTATATGTCAAATATGGAGTGAGCCCATGGCATTGGGGTTAGTTGGGGTTTAGGAATATAGCAATTACTTGGTCTTAGTATCCTGGGTCAAAGACCCATCTGAAGAGTTGAAAGAAAAGAAAATTAGCTTCCTTTTGTTTTAAAGTAGAATTACTGACATGTAACTTGCATGCCATGCAATATCAACATTGTTTGTATTGAATTTGCAGGGTTGTGCCACCATCTCCACAATTTTAGAACATTTTCATCATTCTCTCACCTCAGAAAGATAATCTGTATCTACTAACAGTCACTTCCTGTTTCAACTTTCCCTCCAGCCCTAGACAACCACTCATCTACTTCAGGCTCCATGGATTTGCCTATTCTGGATCTTCCATACGTATTTGGAATCATGCAATACATGACCCTTCCTGGCCTACATCTTCACATTGCATGGCTTTAAATTTTATGAGTGATGGTACAATGTATCAGTGATTCCTTATTCCTTTTCAGGACTGAATACTTTGTTTCACAATTGTATCACATTTTGTTTGTACAGTCATCAGTTGTTGCATTTGGGTATGATGAGTAAGGACACTATGAAGGTTCGTGCACATGTGGCTTCTTGTGCATTTTAATTCTATTGCAGTAATATGTAGGAATAAAATTGCTGGATCATATGGCAATTCTATCCTTAACTTTTGACAAAAGGCTAGACTTGACCCTACTAGTAATACATGATGGCTTCATTTTCTGCACATCCTTCCAGACTTATTATTGTCTTTTTTTTTATCTTCTTCTGCAGTACTGGAGTTTGAACTCAGGCCTTTGTGCTTGCTAGGCAGGTGCTCTGCCGCTTGAGCCATACCCCTTGCCCTTATCTTTCTTTTTAATTTAGACATTCTGGTATGTATGAAATAGAATCTCACTATGGTTTTATTTTATTTTAGTGGGGTTTGAACTCAGGGCCTCATGCTTGCTAGGCAGGCACTCTTACCACTTAAGCTACTCCACCAGCCCCTCACTGTGGTTTTGATTTTATTTCTCTACTAGATAACAATGTTGAATATTTTATGTGTTTGTCAGTGGTTTGCATATTGTGCTTGGAGAAATATCTAGTCAGATCCTTTTCCTATTTTAATTGGATTATATTTGCCTTGTATCATTGAATTATATGTACATGTCCTTTATCAGATATATGCTACTCCAATATTATAGTCCTGTTAGTGGATTGTCTTTTCACTTTCTTGGTACTGCTCGTTGATGTACGATGTTTTTTATTACATGAACTTTCATTTATCTTTTTTTTTCTTATACTTGTCATGTCTTGGTCATGTCTAAATAACCACTAGAAAGGCTTTATTCATGTATTTCTTCTAAGATTGTTTTTATAATTTCAGTTCTTACAATTATATCCTTGACCCATTTTCAGTTACTTTAAATAAGTGCTATAAGGAAGGGGTCCAACTTACTCTTCCTATGTGAAAACCCAGTTGTATTAGCAACATTTGTTGAAAAATGTGATTCTTTCTCCATTGTAAGGAGAAAAAAAAAAAAAAGATATGGGCCTCCTTGAAAAAAATAACATGTTTGTACTTTGAATTTACATTTCTCAAAGCAACTGTTGAATGCACACTTCATTTATTTCTTTAAGAAGGCAAGAAAGAAAATACAGTTTTTACAGACTTTTTTCTGCAGTTATGATTTTAGAACCTTGTTCTCTGTGTAGGGTTCTTTGATTAACTGATGACAATAGGTTATTCTTGGGTTTTTTGATGGGGTGGGGGATTTGCATGTGCGTGTGTGTTTGTGTGTGTGTAGGTTTTTTGTTCTCTCCTGTTGTCAGATTATAGTATCTAGTACCATGAAGTATCTTCTAAATCCTCATAATGTACAAATTTAAGAAACAGTAGACTGAGCCAGATACCAGACTTTTAAGAATGCTTGTAAGTAGTAAATATAGAGAAGAACCATGAAAGCCTTTTTTATGAGCAAGTATGTGAGCTGTGTTTACAAGATTTTGGGACATCATTTGTGACTACTGAAGGTCTTTGGGAGTGCAATTTCTGCTCATTAGCACTATTCCAGGTGAAATTGCCAGACAGCTTAATTCTAGATTTTACTTTCCCAATATTCTTCAAACAAGTTGGAAGCTACATTAGTTTTCTTATTTTTATTGTCTTAAAACTTAGTTTAGTGTTTTTTCCTAACTTTTTGAGTATTTTACTCTGTCCTAGGTGCTATGAATATTCTGTGTAAGTGATACTCTGTATATTAAACAATACAATGAGACAAGAATATTATCTTGCCACCATATAGATAAGGAAACAGGCTTCAGAGAAGTTAAACAACATCCCCAAATGGTCACATTGATTGCCCACATTTAGAAAGTAGTGGAACTCAGTCTGTCTTCTATTTTAACTGCTACGTCATTTGCTCCCACTTGCTGAAAAATTCAAATAATGTACAGTTCTTTCTGGAGGGAGGGGAGCAACTGGGATAAACATAGTTCTAGCAAGCTGGCTCCCAAAAGCCCTCCCAGGGTGTCATGGATTATCTTGGTGAATTTACCCAGGGTTTGACCAAAAATTTGATGTTTTAGCCCACCTACAATAAGATCTTTGTCTTTTTTTAAATTGTTTTATTATTCATATGTGTATACAATGCTTGGGTCATTTCTCCCCCCTGCTCCCACCCCCTCCCTTACCACCCACTAAGATCTTTGTCTTAGAGATGAACTCAAATTAACCAAAGTTTCAAGGCTAATGGGTAAAATCAGAATACCAATTAAT